CATGATCACAGTAGGCCTGGCACAGAGTACAGCGAGGAACAAGATTCTCAGTGTTTCCCAGAGAACAAACAAGCACATGCTGCTGCTAAGACTTCTGTGGCCTTCACTAGACTCACTCACATTCGGACATAGACTTTGGGACTGAGCAGATTATGCACCCATGCCCTGCGGGCCGAACCATGGGCTTGGGGTAACTGATGTGGTCAGAGGTAACTCTCCTCTTGGGGCAGCTAGGTAGGAGCTTTGGGGTTTTACTTGCCACCTGGCACTTGGGATGATATTTAGTCTGTTGACCTGGCCCCTTTCACCATGTATTTCTTCTGTTCAGTTGGGAAGTAAGCTTCAGCTTGTGGTTCACACCGAAGTTGTCTGGGAACGCAGGGAAAGCACAGAAGCAGGTCCTAGCTGTGCGTTTTGTTGAGGATCTGTCCAGGTTTGAGGGTGATGAGAATTCAGGGCTGGCAGGAGGAAAGATTTATTCAGGGGTGAGACCTCATGTAGCAGGAGTTTCTTCTTCTAACTCCCTGACTTGGTCATGTGGGAAGGGAAGAGGGGAGAGCACCCCTTTCTCCTGAAGGGTGCTCACTCAGGCCATGGCTGAGTGAACAGCTCTCTTCAGAGCTCTTTCCTTTAGCCTAGGGAATGACTATTTTTTTCGGTTTTCTGAAAGAAATCTTGGACACTGCTAGTTCAGTCCATGACTGTACGAAGAAGGAGACTCAGGTCCAGATGGTTTTGGGACTTGTTCACGTTTAAACAGGTAGAAGTGTGGTAAAATCAGTCCACTTCCCCACTGCCCTCGGCTGCCCATTTTCAGGGTTACCGAATGTTGGGCATGGGTGGCTCATGTGTGAGTCCAAGTTCTTACTCTCAAGGAAGTTACCCTTTTCCTCAATATAGGTTGTAAATTAACCACAGTAAAAGTGGCATAAAACATGTGCTGTGAGTTCTGAAACTGAGGTGTGGTCGGGCGAGAATGGGTCACAGGACGCCACCTGCTGTTGGGAGCTGGAAGGACACAAGGAGGCTGAGCTGAAAAGCGCATGCCACTGGGCTGGCTCTGTGGTTATGGGGGCAGGAACGAAGTACCCATGGCTTGGAGATAGTTTGGCAGATAGTACTGCTGGGGAGACCCAAGGAGAGGGGACAGCACAGTGAATGGTTTCCTCCTTGGTGGCAGGGCTTCCTCTTTGGTATCAGAGTTTTACTCTGGTTTGAAACCTGCTTCTGCCTCCTACCAGCTTTGGAGAAATAACTTGCTTTCTCTGACCTCCAGTTAACTCAATGTGTCACATGAAAGTAAAAAGCAAAATGAAACTACTTTGTTTGATTATATGTAATTTATGTCAACTACATGACATTGTAGAAGAGATAAAACTACAGAGACAGTGGAAAGGTCAGTGTTCGTGGGCAGAGAGGGGTGAATGGGGAAGCACAAAGGCTTTTTAGGACAGTAAAACCCTGCTGGGTGACAGCACAGTGATGGATGCCTGTCATACACTGTCCACATTTGGGGACTGGACAGCACCAAGAGTGGACCTTACTGTGGACTATGGAGTTGGGTCACAAGGATACAGGCTTGCAGATCCCTTATGGGAACGGTGGTGCCAGTCTGGCGGGGGACATTGGCAGTGGGGCAGCAGTGCCTGTGCAGGAACAAGGGCTGTATGGAACTCTGTATTTTGTGCTGTGAACCTAAGACTGCTGTAAAAGACAGAGTCCATTAATTAAACAAGAACAACAAAAAACTACCTTGAGGATTGTCGTGAGGATAGAATGTGGATCACTGATTATAGAAGAAATAACAGGTCACGCCATTCAGCATAATCAAATCACTGTACCTTCTCTTGCTCTGTGCTCAGCTTTCAGAGTGTCTTGATTTTCGGGCAGAGGGGGTGGGTGCCTAGGGTCTTCCTAGTTAGACTTCAGGTTGTGCCTGGGTGAGGAATTCTTCTATAGTTTCCCACATGCCTGGGGTAGAACACTGCTGTGTATAGGAAAAAGGCAGCTAAAGACACCAGGCCCAGACCCTCCTCTGTGCTGGGGTGGGAAAACAGTGTTTCTCCAGGAATCGGGGTTACTGCACTCAGAGGTCTCAGTACTGCCTGGCTGCAGACTGAAGCCTCAGAATAAACGCCCATCTGGTGAATTGGTTCAGGCCAGTGCCTTCTTAAGTCAGGGTGCACAGCACGGCCCGTGGTGGTGGTGGCCTGGGTGGTGGCGGCTCTGTGGTTGAAGGTCAGCTATCAGCTCAGAGTGCTTGTCCCTGCCCGAGAACGGCATGTCTGGGTAGGCTGAGATGCTGAGGATCTCCCGGGGTTATGCAGTGTCAGCTGCAGGGAGGTGTCACTGGTCAGGGTCGAACCATCCTTGCTTTACAAAATGTGGTCCCCAGACCAGCAGCCTCAGATCACCTGCGTTAGAGATACCGACTCCCAGGCCCACCCGGTTCCCGGGATCAAAATCTGCCTTTTCACAAAATGTGCAAGTGACGTGTGTGCGCCTGGAAGTAGGCGAGGCACTGATCCAGAAGGCTGGGCGTGAGGACTTTTCTTTGGAGCACAACCCCTGTCTCTCCCCCTTCGTCCCCTTATAGTCCTGAGGAAGAGGCTGCTTGCTAAGAACTGTGGGGGCTAGAAAGGAAATGGCAAGGAGAGGAATCGGAAGTTGTCCTTGATTTGAGGCCTTTTCTGACTTGAGATGTGTGATTAAGCTTTGCTGTGGAAGCAGTGATTACCTTTCTTACTCAGATTATTAACTGCTAGTTGTGGGCCATCTTGTTCCATTCTTGGCTCAGCTTTCCTTCTGGTCATTTCTTTTAGGTAATTATTGGAAGTGGAGATGGTGGACATGAAAGATACATTTTTATTTCTTTTAAAGAAATGATGAAAGACCGTTTAGTGTAACTATTGTTGATGGAATTTACCAGCACCAGATTCTAAGTAACCCTGGGCTTTCTAGTGGAACAGAAAGAGTTTTGGTTCTTAACTGGTGTTGTGGTCATTTTTGCCTCTAAATGATTAAGTTTGGAAAACTGTTGAGACATAGGTAAGATTAGGGTCATGACTCCTAAGTGTATTTCTTAGCATTAAAAAATATATTTACAAAGAGAAAATATTAGGGTCTTTGAAATTTTTTTCAGTGCTTGGAATAGAACTGTAGGTCAGCACTGACCACTGAGCTGCATCCCAAGCCTGCTGGGATCTTTTGGAACAGGATATCAAAACATCCAACTTTGGCTTTTAGTGTCTTTTTGCTTGTATCCCTGTTACAAGAGTGAGGTTTTACTAGCATAGCTTCATCACATGACCTTCCAGCTTGTCACTGTTACCCCGTCAGTTGACCTTCCACTCATTGGAAATTCAGATGCACGGAAGTGGCTCTGATCCGGGTCTAAGAGCCAGGTTAGGGTCTGAGTCCTCTGCTCGCCCTGGCTGTGTGGAGGTGGCATGGCCTGCATGGCTAAAAGGAAAAGGTTTGACCAGATCTGTGGCCTTCAGCAGGGACAAGGAGTTTCTGAGGACTTTTATGTGTATCAGGCTCTTGTGTTATTCAGGAACGCACGGTTTTGAGTTTATTTGAGAAAAATGGGGTAAAGTCTTGTTTTTTTCTTTTTTTAAGCAAGTGGCCGATGTAGAAGCATAGTTAGTCTTGGCTGGAGGTGAACAAAGGATGGGAAGCACTTTGTGAATATCGTGTGCTGGGCACTGGTCTGCATTTTTGATCTAGCTCAGAAATCCCAGCAAGTGCTTTGTCATCTGAACAAGCAGGACAGAAAGATTGTGTGTCACGCTCCAGATCCTCATAGCCCCGTCTCCAGGGTTTGCCCCTCTGCATCATAATCCGACGTGTGTGTGCATGTGTCTCCTCTATAAAACAGATGTTTTCTGTGCGTGAATGGTGTTAAGTTGCCCCCTCATTTCAGGTGCAAAAAATAAAATAACGGTTTCCACAGAGTCCAATGCAGCGGGCTCCAGGTTCCCTTTGCAGTGCCTGGCGGGGTGTTCACTGTCAGGAGCGGTCCTCAGAGGGCTCCTTCCTCCTCTACACGGTGTGGTGGGAGGTTTCGGCCCCAACAGGACCTCAGTCTTGGTCGTGCCTTGACGCTGGCTGCCCACCGCCGCGGCCCATTGTGCTCATTCTCCCCCTGCGCGTCTCGGCTGCATGGTCTTCCGGGGCCGCCCTGGGGTGCTGGTCTCCAGGTGCCCTCGGACGTGCTCCTGCCTGAAGCTTTCACCTGCCCTGTGGGTGCCTCAGACAGGGCCCGTGGCACAGAGCTGACTCAGAACACTCCCTGGACACACAGCTTCCCCAGGGGAAGAGAAGTGTACACGTTCTTCCACTGCAGGGTTGTGTGAAGTTAGCTAATTTCCCTGTCCAGGTATTCTGCTGCCTGTAAACAACAGCAAGATTGAACAGGACAGAGCTGGGCGTGGTGACACACGCCTGTGCTCAGCATGCGAGAGGCTGAGCCGGAAGGACTGCCACGAGTTTGAGGCCAGCCTGAATAGCATAGTGAGACCCTGTCTCTCTCTCAAAAAAGAAAAAAATAAATAAAACAAACTGATAACAACAAAAAGATTTAATGCAAACAACCTTAGGTGATTAGTGTTTGATTTCCGCTTCTCTTGTTAAGTAAAGCACTTTAGTGTCTCACTGGGATGGCCTCGATTCTTTACTTTTTCTAGGTCTGTGACCTTGGGAACATGGATTGAGTCTTTGGGCTTCTGTTTCACATGGAGATAATGATAGTTTCTACCCCAGGGTATCACTTTTAGCACAGAGACCGAGTTGTGTAGAAAGTGTGAGGATGCAGTCAGGGAAAAGCCCAGGACAGTCAGGCTGGGGCTTAGGGTGGGAAGTCTGGGAGTGGGGAGATGCTGCCTACAGAATCGGGGCTCACATTGACCTTTCTGGTTGTGTTTTCACTGGAGTTTGTGTTCTGACTCACACGTACTAAAATCCCTCCGATAATACTGGCTTGTGTTTGGCCCATGCAGGATGCGACAGACTTCGAGTGGAGCTTCTGGATGGACTGGGGGAAGCAGAGGGTGGCATGGCTGCTGCTCGGCCACGCAGCAGTGTCCCAGATGGCCACGCTGCTTGCAAGGAAGGTACGGCTGCATGTGTCCTTGCCTTCTAAGCCTCTCTCCTTTGCGTCTTGTAAAGTCCTGAGGAAGAATCAGAAGACGCGAGTTTCTCACCTTGAGAACCAGGTGTGTTGGTCGTGATCCTGTGACATTAGAGATCAGGATGTCCTACGTTCTCACCCTGGGTTTACTTCTGAGTTTGTTTCAAAACTGTTAAATAGGAGGCTTTTCGAGTGATTTCTCTTCAGATGGTGTCTCTAAGATCGTTCCTGATTAAATGAACTTTAAAGAGCTGCGGGTTGGGGAGGATCTGTGTGATTTCCTGTACAAATTCAGAAGGAAATGGATAATTTCGTTAAGATATGGGATAGTTTTAATGTCCAGTGATGCGTGCTATTGTGGATGTTTAGTCAGAATTCCGTTGGTTTTGGCTCTAGTCTTGCCTGGAATGCAGAGTGAGGAATTCCTCAGAGTAAGTATTGGGCACAAGGCAGGACTACCGCCCTCTTTGCAGGGCCAGCTGCTGAGGACCGGGGCTGCCCCCAAGTGCTGCTGCTGTCCTCTGGGCCCGCTTTGGTCCGAGAACCTCCCCACCTACAAACATCTCCCCGCTGGCAGTTGGTGTTGTGAAGGAATGACTCTGTGCTGGGAAATCCACTGAGCAAAGGCGAAACACAACCAAAGAGTCCTGGAAGTCAGCCCCCCGAAGCCAGGAAGGAGGAGCTGCAGGACAGCAGAAGCAGAGGCCCGGAGGGAGGGAGGGAGGGAAGGAAGGAGAAGGCCAGAGCAGGGGGCGGAGGCTGCATCCCACAGAGGCACCCAACTTGGCCAGTCTGGGGCCCGTTCCCCGAGATTGGTCGTTTTGGGGCTGGCTTCTCATCCTGGAAGATAGCAAGTCCAAACAGCTGCTAACTTTCTTTTAAATATAATATTGATTACTTGTTCACATTCAAGTAGTTGTGTCCATCTTTTAAAACAGCAAAAACTAAATTATCTGACGCTGTCAACCTCTATGTATTTAAACCTTTCATGTAACTTTCTGAGCAGACCTAATAAATAATACATTTTTGTTCCTAAGCTAGTAATGGGTGTGTCTACCTCAGCTCTCATTGATTAATGGTTTTTTTTCCTTCTAAAAAGTTCTGTTTAATTTTATTTCAAGATTTTAAAATTTTCTAGAAGTTTTTTTAAAATTTCTAACACAAAGCTTCTTTGCTCACAGGTAAGTGACTAAGTCTCAGGTTCCCTCTATGTGAAGGAACAGTTGAACACAGTCTCTTACCTCTCTGAGGGCCAGAGGAAATACTTTGTGACGTGTTAAGCCATCGGCTCTTGCTGCTGCAGCTGCGGGGGAGGGCAGCTCTTGTGTGGGAGTGTGCTGGACAGTGCAGGGTCATGTTGGGCCTTTGGCTTCGGCACTGATTAGCTTCCTAATATTAGGAAAGCTTTTCCCATTGACTCTTAAATTATCATCTATAAAAGGGGCTTGATAAAGTAGTATCAATCCTATTTTCCCCATAAAATATGACAAACTTCATTTGTTGGAAATTTCACGATAATAAAAATGAAATGCAGAAAAACCAGGACAAAGAGAAAGCACAGAAGAAATAGCAAAATAAAAGTGTGTTGGTAATCATAATCAGTGTAAATGCATTCACAAAAAAAACAGAAGGAAAATTAAGCTGGGCAAGGTAGTGCACACCTGTAATCCCCGTACTCTGGGGAGTTCAGGCAGAGGGATGGCAAGTTCCACTGTGAGATTCTCTCTCAAAATAAAAAATAAAAAGGGCTGGGGCTGCAGCACAGTGCAGAGACCCTGGGTTCAGTCTCTAGTACCAAAACACACATGAAAATTATTAGACTAGATTTTATTTTATGTTATTTTTTGGAGACAGTGTCTTGCTATGTAGCCCAGGCTGGTTTTGAACTCATGGTGACCCTCCTGCCTCAGCCTCCCTAGTGCTGGGATTATAGGTGTGTGCCACTACACCCAGTTTAGATTAGATTTATTAAAACAACAGAAATTAAGTAAAACAAAACAAAATTCAGAGATGTGCTTCTTAGCTTGATATACTTAAAACAGAAGGAAAATGTTTGAAAGGAAAAGGAAAAGATAATCCACACAATATAAATTCTTTCTCTTCTCAACAAGATATGGGTACAGTTTTATTAATAGCTGGCAAAGAGTGTTACTAATGATAAAGAGGGCTATTGTTTAGTAAAGAGTTTGTTACTATGAAGATAATTACAGTTCTAAATTTGTTTGCTTCAAAATATATAAATCAAAAGGTAATCAGTGTAAAAATAAATAGATCAATCAGTGATTATGTGGAAAAAATTTAACATAACTCCATCAATAATTGATATACCATGGATCAAAAAACCCAACAAGGAGCAATACAAGTAATAAGCTTGATAAAAAGAAAAACTATGTAGAAAATAAAAATTTGTACATATATATAAGTTGTTGCATTCAATAAGTGCAAATCCATATTCTTTTTAAGAACACAGAATGACTCAAACTGGACCATAAAGTAATTTTCAAAGTATGCGTTTTATATAGATTATCTTCTGTAATCGTAATGTAAGTATAGAAAGCTATTGGAAAACAATAGCAAGATAGCCTGAAAATTGTAATTCATCTAGAAATTTAAAAAGAAACACACTTGAGTTATTGTTTAAGACTTTAAATCAGCACTGTGCATGTTTGCAGTACCTGCTGATTACACTCTCAGGGGTTGGGTACATGGGCACGACCTGTCTCCATTCTTCTTCCTTTATTTGAATCCCTGCCCCTTCTCCCTTCCTGCTCCTTCAGACTCTAGGTTCCATTCCCATTTGCAAAAGCTGTATTTTCACCATTTCCCCTTTCAATTCTTTTTTTCCATCCCCTTTCTTCCCCCTCCCCCTTTTGTTCCCTCACCCATCTGAAAAAGATTTCCTTACTTCCTATTTATCTGTCTTCTATTTAGTTCTCTCTCCCACTTGAGTTTCTCACAGAAGAGAAACCCTGAGATATTTAAGCTTGTGTGTTTGACTTATTTCACTTAATATTATGGTCTCAAGTTGCATCCATTTATTTACAAATGCCTCAAATTTACCTTTCTTTATGGCACAGTAGTACTCTATTGTGTATAAATACATTTTTATCTATTCATCTCTTGATGGACAGATAAGCTGCCTTATTTAGCTATTATCAGGCTGCTATAAATGTGGATGTGCACGTATCCCCGTAATATGACGTCTTTAACTCTTTTGGGAAGATACCTAGAAGGGGAAAGATTGGCTCAAATGGAATTTCTACTTCTAGAATTTTGAAGAATCTCCACACTGATTTCCAGAGCCGTTGTACTAGTTTACATTCCCACCAACAATGTAGAAGAGTTCCTATTTCCCCACATTTCCCCTGCCAGCATTTGTTACTATTTGTTGAAGATAGCATTCTTTCAGGAGTAAGATAGTATCTCAATGTTATTTTAATTTGCATTTTTCTAACGGCCAGCGATGTTGAACATATTCATGCTCATATGTTCATTGGCCACTTGTACCTTTTCTTCTGAGAAGAGTCTATTCATTTCAGTTGCCCATTTTTTGATTAGGTCTTTTATTTGGGGAGTCTAATATTTTTTGAGTTCTTTATATATTCTAGATATTAGTCTTCTGTCTAAGGAATAGCTGGAAGTATTTTTCCCATTCTCTAGGCTGTCTCTTCACTCTGTTGGTTGTTTCCTTTGCTGTGGAGAAACTTTTTACTTTAATATGATCCCATTTGTTGATTCTTGCTATTAGTTCTTGTGCCATTGGAATTCTGTTCAGCAAGTCTTTGCCTATACCTGTGTCTTCAAGGGTTTTATCTATTTTATCTTCCAGCAGATTAAGGAAACATACTATTAAGTAACTCATGGGTCAGAGAAGAAAACTTACTAGAAATTAGAAAATATTTATAAATGAATAGATAAAATATTAGATATAAATATCTGTAGGATGCAGGTTAGATTGGTACTTAATTGAACATAACCTTCTACAATCAGATTAAAGAAAAAAAGATAAAATTGATAAGTTAAGCTGGCAGAGAAGTGCAGGGAAAGCACAGCAAAAAAGGGAGGAAGGAAGGAAGGAAACAAAAATAAGAGCAGAAATTAATGACAGTCAGTAGCAAGACTGAGCAAGGAAAAAGGGAAGGCACAGATAACCAAAGTAAAGTGTGGAAAAGAAGAGATGTAGATGGTACAGAAATGAAAAATAAACAAGAGGGTATTTTACATACCATGTGGTTATAATTTTGAAAACTTTGTCACAGCAGACAAATTTCAAGAAAATATAACTAAAAACTCTGACTCATGAATAAACAGAAAGATTAACTAGTCTTGTGCCAATGAAAATAAATCAGTGATTAAAATGTATTTGTTAAACCCCACTAATCTAATAAACCAATTCTGTCATGTATCCAAGGTGCAAATAATTTGGTTTTTTTCTAAGGCTTTTTCAGAAAAAACAGTAGTGTGATTGTAGCATAAAATTGGTATCAACATTGGAGAATATGCTCTACCAGATATTATAAATACATAGTACATTACAATTACATACTTATACATGATTATTATAAATACATAATAATTAAGAATAATTTGGTAGCAGGATAGACAAATAGACCAATGGAACAGAAGAGAATATAAAAAATAACTCTACGTAGATGAAATTTGACTTATGACAGAGCTGACATTTCATATCTAGGTGGAAAAGATAACAGTGCTTATAGAGCTGACCAATACTAAAGGAAATGAATACTTCATACCACATATAATAATGTTCTTGAGGTACACTAAGGACTGAAAGGGAAAACCAAAAGTGTGAAACTTTTAGAAAACATGATATAGAAGAATATCTCTTGATGTGGGGAAGAGAAGGTTTCTCTATACAAGATACAAAAAATACAAATTATGAAGGAAAACATTGATAAAAATTTAACTACATTAAAATGAAGAACTTAAGTTTATTCTGAGGCACAGTAAAGAAAATGAAGA